AGATAAATGTTTGCACAAAGCATCGGCACATTTTTTTAAAACACAGCTCGGTACAAGATCACGGCCCGAAGAAAAAGACATTTTGATTGTTTTCAGATTTTGTAAAAAACCATCCTCACTAATTAGGGGCGTGAAAATACAGTTGTAGTAAAGAAGAGGGTATGGGTAGGATGAAGTGTTATCGTAACTAAAAATAAGTTCGCTATATCGACGTCACTAGAGGCAGATGTCGTATCAAGGTGAAGGCAAGATAGAAATTGTTCCGATTTTCGTTTCGAATTAACAAATGCGTAGAGCTGCTTGGGGTTGTCTTGGAATTCTATTCTGCAAAGGCTTATGTAACTATTTTAACATACGGAATTGTGGTCAACTTGCAGACCAGTTCTCTTAAATTTCTTAAAAAGTCTAGACATAGAGTTTTTCAGAAAAGAGAGTCTACGAGAGAACCACGGGCGCTTATGAGGCGCGTTTGCAGAGGGAAATGATGGAACGAACGTATCGAAAACTGAATGTTCTACAATATGTAAGGGATCATCGTTTGAATCCATAAAAGACCAATCGAGTTCCGATAAATGCCTATTCATTTCTGCGAATTTAGATCTTCGAAAACAGCGAAAAGATGCTGGTTCGATTTCGGGACATGACAGTAATGGAGCTGATGCTTCTAAAGTAACCTCAAGTGTATGATGGTAAGCGTCTTCAGGATTGGAGAGAGGGCTAATTTGAGTTACGAATGCATTTGCGAACTCCGAGACGAAAATAAGGTGTAAAACTTTTCTGGAGCAGTTCAAAATTGAGTTCAGTTGTCCTAATGAAAGATCAATAAGACCGTGAACAAAGTCATGGGCCGCGGTGGAAACGAGAGCTATTGAATCAGTTGATGTCATCCAGGAAATGTCAGGGAGGTTAACCTCCCATTCCCAGTCGCCCATTACAATAAGATGATCGTTTTAGCCGAGGGTTGAATGAATACTCTGTATTTGAGCCAAATGCTGAAGATAGAGGCTAATATTAGAACGAGGAGGAATATACGAGCATGATATAAAAACGAAATAATCATGAAGCTTTATCCGAACTGCAAAAAACTCTAATATGCTGTCCGAACAAATTTTCGGAATACGTTGAGAGACAAGATCGGACTTCACGGCTATAAAAACACCACCGCCAAGACGCATTGAGCGGTCACATCTACATATAACATATCTTCCAGCAAATATTTCGCAGTCAGACACAGAGGAATTAAGCCACGTGTCGGTAAAAGCAATCACATTGGCATCGAAGGATACACTGTTGACGTGCAGTGTCTAAGTTTGCCCAATAAGCTGCGATCATTCTGGTAGTGTAGGAAAAAATAATTATTTAGTTTTTTGGAACGTTGGTTAAAGGAATCTAAGGCCCGTGGACCCGAAGATTAAGCATGTCTACGTACTCGTGAACAATAACATGTTTAGGCCATATAGAAACATCGAGAGCTATAAGATGTTCCTCAGGAAGTCCAATTTTAAACGAAGATATTTCACGTCTCTGATTAAACTTAAACATCAAGACGGTTAAATCGGCTCGAGAATCATTCAGTTTGCTGCTCCAGTATTTTTTGACGTCATCTTCAGAAGCACCATGATTAGGGCGAGAGACAAAAATGAGTTTTTTTGTATCCAAACGGCCTTTAAAGTTGGATTCAGCCTTTTCAAAACGAGTTAATAAGTCCAACTCGGTTTTCCTAATGAAAGCCATAATATTGACTTTAATAGGATGGCAACTGGGGCAGCTCCAATCCAGGTTAGAATTAGATTTAGTCCGGTCTGCAATTAGGCCAGCACTGTGCCCAAGATCGGCACATTTAAGGTGAGCAATGTGGTCAAACAGCCAGCAACGAATTGTGGGATGTCGAGAGGTGATTTTATCATTTAAAAGGCAAGGCTTGATGCAGCACACAGACATACTAAATTGTTATGTTGTTGTCTGATATATACGCGTAGAAAAACCACGTAGATGTAGAAAGCGCAGCTTGCAGTTGGGTCGGTGATAAGATTTACGCGCATGTGAGTGTTCGCGACGAAACACAAGTGTAGACGTTTGCGGTAAACTCAAGAATAGTGTAGAGCAAAGCAAACACGCAAAACGATTTCAGATAATATAATAATGCGAATTACGTATAAGCACTAACCATACAACATATAAACTGGTAATTTCATACAACGAAAATGGTCGCAAAAGTTTCAAATCGGGAGGCCCCACAGCTGGTAGCGGCAGGCCCCGGACACTTCGTGTGCCTTCGGGTTTTTTTCACTCTCATTCTTATTCTCATTTTGACGCTCGCGCGCTCATTACTCGAGTTCGGTCGTTCTGTCGCAGAGACGCGCATTTTGAAGAAGGTTGCCCTGCGCTTGAATTGGGCTTTGTATGTATGCGTGTTCATGCATTGTCATACAGGGGTGCATCATTTCATTTCGATGCAGCAAGAATATTATGTCTTTTGCTACTTTTCAGACTTGGTATCCTAACAATATGGACGTATTCACTATTGGGTTAATGATAAAAATTAGAATATTATATGTTATAGTATATTTTTTAATATTTCCGCATATATTTAATTTTGGTTTACAAATTCAAATCAATGGTAGCAGAATAATGTTTTGCATATATGTATGTATTCCAAATTGATATAAATCAATCTAATGAGATAGGAACAGGGCACATCGCAGTCGGTGTCTGCGCTTAGTAGATGAGAAAACTTCAAACCAAATCAGCTTTGGTTGTTGTTCTGCGGGCGGATGGTGCCTGCATACCCTACTAACCAGCTGTTTCAAAGTTATCCGTTAGATGGCGCTATTGTATTGCGCCATCTACCCCAAGACATTGGTACCACGGGCCATGAAAGGCGGGAATGTAGGCGCTAGCCAGGCTTAAGCGTTTAATGGGTTTTTGGGCGTTAGAGTGGGCGTGGCAAACTTTTATTAGGCAAATCGATATATATATATTGACGACACAAATACATATCAATTAAAATTTTCATAATAGCATCAAAACTGTTGCCACAGATTGTGGCTTGTGGGCGTCAGAGGGGGCGTGGCACCATTTTGAAACAAACCTGCGCTGCGTAGGAACTCCTAAAATGTACATGCAAAATGCCAATCTTCTAGCTTTTATAGTTTCCGAGATCTCAGCGTTCATACGGACAGACAGACGGACAGACGGACATGGCTAGATCGACTCGGCTAGTGATCCTGAACAAGAATATATATACTTTATAGGGTCGGAAACGCTTCCTTCTATCTGTTACATACTTTTGCACGAATACAATATACCCTTTTACTCTACGAGTAACGGGTATAATGACCAAGATCGGCTTTAATCGGTGTAGTTAGCACGGGTAAAATATGATCAGGAGGGGCGATAAAATACACGTCCGACAACGACTATGTGGGGCGAGTTTGAATGTATATTCATGCTTTAATAATAATCGTTTTAAATCTTCTCTAAGTCGCTTGCCGACTTATGTATCTCTTTCTCAGACCCTTGTTGTGTAGTTTATATAGTATAAAAATAAGACTATAACGATTATTATTATTAATTGTTTTAATTATTTGAGAAAAATATGTTTATTACATTTGCCTGCCTATATTTCCGTTTAGCTTTACGGGCTATACTTCTAATCAGGCAGAGAAGATTCCGCTCAATTTTACAAAAAATTGGTTATATACATATAATTATATTATATTTGTTTAAATGTGATTAAACTATCATCTCACCTACTTCGACTCTTTGCATCAGCTAGGCGTGGCACGCTGGTCCTAACTAGAAGGCGCTGGTGGTGGGGGCGCTCCTACGCTTGGTATCTGCTGCTCCTGTCCTATTGGCTCAGGCGATGCGGGTGCGGTTAAAAAAGGCCGCTCTCATGTAGGCCTAGTTTCCGGGCAAGCAGTGTCTGCATGTGAAATTGCAGATAACGTTGCCCATTGGTCCAGGGCATTCAGCTGGGCACTTCAGGTTTCTTTATTTGATTTTTATTTAGTGATTTTATTCCAGATGACTTTTGGGATTGCTTTTTTGAGTCTTGAAGTTCACTTGAAATTTCTGAAATATTGCCTATTACACCTTCGCGTCCCATCACAATCTACTCACTCAGATTTTTCCTCCTTTTTGTTGTTGTTTTCGTTCCATCCATCGATTTAGCTCAAGTCCCTTGTTGCCATGTAAATTCGAGTTCCTTGTGACTGCCTGGGCTTAGACCTTTGTCACGGTCGCCATGTAAATCCGAGTTCCCATCACAATATAAGCCTTTGGTTTGTATTTTGATTTTATATATTTTTATTAAAGCAGCGAAAGTGCCGCATCAACCTCTCAAGAGTTTCTGGCTTTACAAATATATCTTAAGAGCTTAAAAGGGCTAAGTCTCGTAGCTGCGCTGCCAACAGCGGCAGCGGAGAGACGGTTTTATATTGTTAGGGAGCACGAGGGAGTATGCACATATACTTGAGTTCATATCAATGTGAGGACCGCGTATGACAATTGTGCTGACACTTGCACTTTCCTTTAGCCGACCAAAGTATACAGACCGGCTCGGATTTCGGCCACTTGGTTTAGCGACTGGGACTCAGAATTTATATTTTATATTTTATTTTTGAGTTTTTCCGGCTCGAGGTCAACAATTAAAAAAATTTTTAAACAAAATTTTTAAATTTTTTTTTTTATTTTTTCCAATATATTTCGGCAACCGTCTTCAGGGAAAATAATTTTACAGTTCTGCACCGTCGGACGCGTAGATTAATACTTATTTTATATTTGTTTATACATATGCAACAATGTATGAAGTACAGTGTGCATTCGATATATGTGCAAAATACAATAGCTTTAAATTCCTGAACTTTTGGTGCTTACTTCGGAATAAATTGTTAATTTGCGCGTATACTGCTGTAATTATTATATAAGAAGTAATAATTTTATAATAAAAGATTAAAGTATTTCATATGACTAATCTGTTTCTTTATTATAGAACAACTGGACCGCATTGAAGAAGGAATGGATCAAATTAATGCTGACATGAGAGAAGCGGAAAAAAATTTAAGCGGAATGGAAAAATGTTGCGGCATTTGCGTCCTTCCATGCAATAAGTTTGTATATTTTATTTTCGTAATTATAATTATATATGTTGGCTTAACAAAAACCTTAAGGTATTTTTGGCCAACAGTTTCTTTAAACTATTTAGGAAAGTGTTCGAAGGCTTACTTTTAAGATAACTTTTTTTCATAATAGTTGGGTCTTTTAACAAAGATGATTCTATTCTATTTATGAGAATATTTCTTTGAAGTTCTAATATTTACATTTTGTATAACATCTTCTTCTATATTCCTCAAAGTTCTTCAAAGATCATGGCAATGTAAAGTATAAATGTAAAAACTGATTTTATCAAGGTTTTAGAAGCTATTGCAATATATTTCTTAAAATTCTATAAGGTCATGCCTGTCTAAAGTATATGTAAAAACGTATTTTACAAGTTTTTAAGGTTATTGTAATTTAAGGATATGTGTTAGCATATACTATAAATAATATTATAATTTTATTGCAAATCAATTAAACATAGAGCAGTTATCCCCAATGAGCTCCAAGTTCCCACTTTGGAGAGCACACTCATCACTCTGCGCACCATTAGAACCTGCAATGCCAATAAGGACAGGCAATTGGGGCGCAGCGACGGAGAAAGAGCTGACAGATTTGCATCAAACGGGATCTCACACCAGCAACATCAGATATCGACACATCTACGTATGAACTAATTGTTTTTAGGCCACATGAGTTACTCAAAACCATAAATGAACAACTCAACCCAAAAAAATCTCATGGATGCGACCTAATATCTCCAAAAATGATTATTCAACTTCCTTTTTGAGCAGTTTGAGCTATTTGCCAACTCTTCAATGCAATAACGAGACATGGACACTTCCCAGAGAGATGGAAAAAGTCGATCATCATAATGATACCAAAACCTGGCAAAGACCGCACAATTGCTCATATAGACCAATTAGTTTACTAACGTGTCTAACTCTTCGAAAAATGCTTCTTGGCACATATTACCCCATATCTCAGAACACACAACAAAATCCCGACTCATCAAATCGGCTTTCGAGAAATCATGGAACCATCGAGCAAGTCAACCGCATAAATCCGAAATGCATTCGAACAAAGGGAGTACTGCACTGCGATATTTCTGGACGTATCACAAGCTTTCGACAGAGTATGGTTAGAAGGTTTAATGCAAAAAATAACATAAATGCTCCCAACTAACACTCACAAACTTCTGAAGTCATACCTTTACAACAGGAAATTCTCAGTAAGATGTAATGTTGCCATGTCCGATGACTACATCATCAGAGCCGGAGTTCCTCAAGGCAGCGTGTTCGGGCCAACACATTACCTTATCTACACTGCGGACATCCTAACGAGCAGGCAACTAACCATATCCACTTTTACTGATGACACAGCGATCCTAAGCCGATCGAGATGCCCCAAGCAAGCAACGGCGCAACTTGCTAAGCACCTGGAGGCAGTGGAGAAATGGTTATCCGACTGGCGAATCAAAGTTAACGAACAAAAATACAAACACGTAACGTTCACACTCAACAGGCAAGACTGCCCTCCACTTACTCTAAACAAAACCGTGGTTCCGATAGCAAATGAAGTAACATTTCTTGGCGTACACCTCGATAGACGTCTTACTTGAAGCCAAAAGAACACAATTAAAGCTCTAAGCCAACAGCCTTCAGCAGTTTTCGTCTTCGCCACAGCGACCTTCCAATCCAGCTCTAATTATTAGGACGATGAAGTCTCTATTCAGTTAAAATTAAACTGTTTGATAATATATTATTTTAAGATTTGCAACCTTATTGTTAGACTCATAAAGAGAAGATCCAATAAATAAAAACCAAGCTTTAACACAAAAAAAAAAATTAAGCTGAAGTCGAAAATACAAATTAAAATATAAAATTCAAGACTTATTGTACACAAAACGAAACAAACGTGATTACGCCCTTCTTGACCGGGTCCTTAAGAAGATTGATATGTTAGCTTTTTAAGAGAAGCAAAAGCCCAATTTTGTTTGTCTATAACTAAGTGTACACTTGTTTCAGATTAAAAAAAAGAAAGGAAAGCTAACTTTGGGCGGAGCCGAAGTTGATATACCCTTGCAGAATATTCTGTAAGTTATATTCTACAAAATTATTCATATGATGCATTCTTAATACTCATAAAAAATCCCAACTTCCTAACTTTAAAAACACCAAAGTTATGACATTTCCAGTCGTTCAGTTATATGGCAGCTAAAAGATATAGTCGGCCGATCCTTATGAAATTGGGTGTGTCGGATTGATTGGCCAAAAATAGAAAATCCCAACTTCCTAACCTTAAAAACACCAACGTTATGGCTTTTCTGATCGTTCAGTTATATGGCAGCTATATGATATAGTCACCCGATCCGGCTCGTTCCGACTTATATACTACATGCAATAGAAAGACAACTTTTGGGAAAGTTTCAAGCAGATAGCTTTAAAACTGAGGGACTAGTTTGCGTAGAAACGGACGGACGGACAGACATACAGACAGACGGACATGGCTAGATCGACTCTCCTGGTGATGCTGATCAAGAATATATATGCAAATGTCTTCTTCACTGCGTTGGAAACTTTTGACTGAAATTATAATACCCACTGCAAGGGTATAATAATATGTATATTTTCATTAACTGGCTTAGGGTTGTAACTGTCGATTTCTCGGTAAGCATATCTTATGTGTGTCATCTTCGTCTTTGTCAACTGATACAACCTCGATTGAGTTGAGAGGCTCAATCAAAAGAGCGATCAGATATTTGAGGGCTAACGACGCTTTGCACTGCTTGTAGCGATGTGGACGCTTGAAGACTAGCACATCGTAGAAGAATAAATGCTTAGAGAAATACTGTTACACAAATTTTTGCTAAATTCTTAATAAACTATTTATCAACTACACTATTACATATAGTGGCTTTATCCCATTTAAGGCATATGATTCATCTTGTAAGAATGCTTTCTCGGCCGGGGTACAGATCTCAGTAGGATCCAAGAGTCCTTTACAGGAAAATTGTAAATCACCGAAACACCGGCATAGAGAGCCCGGTGATGGGGAGTCTTCACCGAAGGTTCTTATTTGTGTCGAAGAAAACGCAGACGACGCTGATCGTGTAGCCTTGTATTTCGCGTCAGAGTCGAAAAATTCGGGAGGGTATTTTGCGGGCGTTTGAATCCTGTATTTCACGTCAGGGGCGAAAAATTCACCGGGCTGAACCTTCGGGCGAGGCCGAGCCGGGATACTTTGCGGGTGTCGGGTAGTAAGAGGACGGAAAGGTTAGACTCGGTCGACCGGCCGGGACGGGTGTCCAAAACTACGACAGAGGCGAAGATACTAGGATGATGGAAACTTGTGAAAACTAAGATAACGGATCCGGCGGTACTGGTGGTGAACGGGAAGGATGTCCACGTTCAGGCCCAAAGCAGCTGTGGGAATGAGGTTAGGTTAGATTTTCTTATCCGACTAAGAAATGAAAAACACATGATCGGAAGGTGCGATCATATATTCATAACAATTTATTCAAGTTATCCTACACCGTTTTGAGCGCATGAAAACGTCGTACTAACCTCTTTAAAATCACCCGCGAACAACAGCGTAATACTCGCGATCAGAAGGCCGAGAGTGGTCGCGTCAGGCGTCACTGTTGGCCTATCCTGCAATCCTCAACACACGGAAAAACTCGAGGAGCACACGCGGTTTTTCGAAGCCTCGGTAAGCCGTCTCCCGATCACACGTCTTATTCGTTCCGCGATCCCGAGAGAAGCGCTGCTCCACTATTGCTGAACGACCGCCTTCCCTTTTTCTGCCTTTTCCCGCATTTGGTATTTCTAGTATTTTGCTACTAATGGTATCTTAGCTCCTGTGCTTTTCTAGAATTTAACGTGTCTTGGCTTGGTGGCGTTGCCACCCCGGGTTTTGAACTTAGATATAACTTATTTATTCTTAATATGACTTAATATTTATTGTGCTTCACGATATCTCTCTTAAAACTATTATAATGGTAGTAACAATAATTGTGACGTACACGCCTTCTAGGCGGGTTCGTCACACCCCCCTTTTCTTCCCGCTGCGCAATGGAGAGGCACCCGTCGTTCTTGATGGTGACGGTAATCAGTCCACGACTGATCCGGGTTGCTACCTTCCGGTCTACCTGCCCTACGACACGCCGAGGCAGACAGCGTAGGTTGTTACCTCCGATCCAATCTTCCGGTAGTGGGCAAAGGTCGTCTACGCTTTTTCCGACTGGTCAACCTCCATCGCACTAGCTTCAGTCTTGCTCTAGTTCATGATTCTCCTATTCAGTGAGCGGTTCGCCAGGAAGAGCGCAACTGGGGAATCGTTGGGGGTCCCCACCTTCCCGCGACCTGGTCCAGAGGTCACTCGTAACCCAACGGTGAGAACGTTCAGCGCAGACTCCAGAGGGTATGGTCTTGACTATCTGGTCTTGCTGAGACGACGTCGAGAAGGAACGGCGAAACAGAGGCCTTTCTTCTTCGTCATTTTCGCTGTCTGTGACCAACTCAAAGCCCCAGATTCTCGAAACAAGAAACGACCGGTGTTGGCATTCCCATTTCGGGTGTCTGGGTCAAGCGACGTGAGTCCAGCCGGTTGGGTGGCGAGGTTTGGGTTCTCCGGTTTGACACCTTCTGTGGATGGTCCTTTCCGCCTACTGGGGACGTTTGGACCCCTTGAGAGAACGTTGCTGGGGCCGTCGAAACTCGTTGCGGTGGAGTTGTTGGACATTCAGATCCTTTAGCAGCTTCCCCTTCTGCTACGTCGAACGGCGAACGATCGGCCTCGAGGTCAACTCCTACGCCGGCTTCCAGCGCCGGGCATGGAGGTGGGAGTGGGGGCTCTTCCAGGCACTTTAATGAGCACCGAACGGACGTCAAAGCGCATGAGCGACACATATCCGTCGTCCTTGGGGATAGCCGTTCGGTGAGCTGTCTCCAGAGCGTGGTGGTCGGCTGAATCGGTCGGAGTCGTGGTCGGTAGCGTTATCCTCGTCGTCGTC